GTAGTGACTTATAAACCGTTGGATTAGATTCTCTTATCTCAATCTTATGTGTTGGTTTGTTTCTCTGAAATCAGACAAGATAAGATTCATCTCATAACTAAATAGTAATGCCCTTACAATTTAGGTATGTTGTCTGTTTATATTTTCAGTTTAGGTCTCTAAACTTCTAACCTCATTTTAATATTTATTGGGTTTTTATTTAGAAATTAGTAAAAGTAAGCACTTTTAGTATAACATATTATATCATTTTATGTCTTAAGCATTAAACATACTGTTTATACCATACTTAGGACCTCCGTATTTAGATCTCGTACAAATACTTGGGGGACTTAAATGTAATTATGTAATAAAGGAAGGGGCAAATATGTAATAAGTGAGGAGCCCTTATTCTATAAAAGGACTCCTCACCCTCACAATTTGAGGAGGCCAATCCTTAGGCCATATCCTCACCCTCTCAGAGCTCTCATCCTTACAGAGAAATACAATCAGTGTGGACGTAGCCCAAACCTTGGGGTGAACCACGATACATCTTGTGTCATTTACATTACTTGCAGATTCACAGTCGGATTTACATTATTCCAAGACCTCCGGTTTTGTGCATCAACATTTGGCGCCGTCTGTGGGAATCGACACAAAAAGCTATGTCGGTTCTCTTTCATTTTTTCATCTTACCACCGTGAGACCTCACCACTGTCCACCGTGGATCTGCAAAACCAAGAGACACTTCTTCTCTCTGATTTCTTCCCTCCCTCTCAGTGAATTTCAGTATATCAGTCCTAAGAACTTTGTAAACTTTCCACTTTCAGTTCTTTCCAGTTTCAGTTCTACGAAAAAGATATGGATTACGGCATACTCAAATCGTCGGAGCTGGAAGGCTCCTTCAAGCAACACGTGGCAAAAAACCACCCATCACTCCTACAAACCGCCACAAGAACAATGTCATCCTAATCTTCAACCTGCTGCAGCCGCAAGAACAAGGTTATCCTAATCTATCTCCTCTTCGTCGCACTCATACTCACGTCCGTCGTCTCCACAGTCATCCTAGTCGCCGGCCGCTTCAAAGCTTCAAACTCCGCTACCTCCTCCGCCATCCACCGCAAGCTTACGAAGGCCATCTCAGACTCATGCGCCAAGACGTGTTTTCCCTCCCTTTGCGTCGACTCCCTACTCGACTTCCCCGGCTCCACCACCGCGTCGGAGCATGACCTCGTCCACATTTCCTTCAACATGACGTTGCAGTGCCTCAGCGATGCACTCTGCTCTGCTCCGCCTATGATGACTGCCTCGAGCTCATCGACGACTCCGTCGACGCCCTCTCTCATGCCCTCACCTTCGTTGTCCCCGGCGCAGCGTCCACGTCCATACAGGACTTGCTGATGTGGCTGAGCGCAACGCTCACGAACCAGGACACGTACGGGGAGGGTTTTGAGCAAATCAATGGCGGCGACATTAGGAACAAGATGGACCAGTGGCTTAAGGACTTGTCGGTACTTATGAGCAACTGCCTAGCAATTTATTCAGCGATCGGGGGCGACGATTTCTTTGGAGTCCCGATACAGAACAGGCGGAAGAGGTTGTTGGGTAATTCAAGAAAAGAGGGAAGGCGTCGTTAAAGGGAAAAGATGTAGCTGTGAATCACAATGAACAGGAAAAATATGATAGAGAAGAAATTTACAAAGAAAAGTAAGAAATCTATGAAGATAAGTGCATCTTCAGTACCAGCGCCGGCTCCTGTGCCTAACAGAGTGAAAGCACGGCAAGCTTTGTTGAGAGAATATTTAGTGGAAAGCAAAAGTAAAGTAGAAAAGGTAAAATGGAAAGAAGGAAAAGCAGATGGGGTTTTTACAGCTGGAGTACACCAGCTTGTGTTCAAACAGCAAAAAAAGAAAAAAATGAGGCATATATACCAAAGCTGCTAATGGTAAGGCAGATCTTGTCAGCAAGGTTGAAATAAATATTCCCGAGGATGACCAAAGAAACCCAGCTGTGATAGTTGATAATTGCTTGCGCACTTCCTCAACCAATACGGAAAGCGTTGTCTGCCATCTGCCAAAAGGGAAAAGAGAAAGCAAAAGCAGAAAGCAAAAACAAGGAATAAACACCCCACCAGAATGATGTAATTTATTTTTATTATCTTTCAGAGACATCTGTATAAACCCCATCATAGGGTAATATGTATAAACCCCATCATAGGGTAATATGTATAAACCCCATTAGAGGGTAATTAAAAAAAACAAAACAAAACAAAAAACAAAAAACAAAAAAATAAACGGCAAGCCCAAAATAATGGGCTGTAATGTCATGTGGAGGGCGAATGCCCATATGCCCAAAAGAGCTAGGCCCTCTATTATCACCAACCAGGTGATCAAAAGTACGCTCAGTACTCCAAAATTATTCGGCAACCTGCCGCTATTACCACCAACCAGGTGATGAAATGTACAACCCGTACTCTAATATCATTTGGCAACTAGTCATTCATGCCACCAACCAGGTGATGAAATGTACAACCCGTACTCTAATATCATTTGGCAACTAGCCATTTATGCCACCAACCAGGTGATGAAATGTACAACCCGTACTCTCCTTCATGCCACCAACCAGGTGATCAAAAGTACGCCCAGTACTCCAAATTATACATGAGCATTACTCATGTCATTCATACATAAACATTCATGAGCATCACTCATGACAATCATACATAAACATTTATGACCATCATTCATGTCAACATTCATGAGCATCACTCATGTTAACATTCATGAGCATCACTCATGTTAACATTCATGAGCATCACTCTTGACAACATCCATGAGCATCACTCATGTCAATCAACATAAACATTCATGAGCATCACTCATGTCAATCAGCTTCAAAAGCTTCATTTACAGAGCTCTAGCTTCAAATGCTTCATTTACAAAAGCTCCAGCTTCGAAAGCTTCATTTACAGAGCTCTAGCTTCAAAGCTTCACTTGCAAAGCTTCACTAATAAAGCTTCAGTGCATGGTATACAAATACCGCCTCCGAAGAACCGACACTTCGGCCCATACATGGATTCAATTTGAAGCCTCCAGCCAACAAACTCTATTGACCGAAGACTTGGGGGACTACATTATGTACCATATATTGGGCCTCAACTGTGCCTCATGAAAAATACTTGGGGGACTTAACCCATTATTTATGTATTGAGGAGCGAGCCCTTATTCTATAAAAGGGACTCCCTCACCTTCATTAGAGAGCAACGTCGCCAGCTGAGCAACCGTCTCACCGCGAGCATCACTCCTAGCCCATCACTTATGTACCGAGGAGCGAGCCCTTATTTTATAAAAGGGACTCCCTCATCTTCATTAGAGAGCAACGCCGCCAGCTGAGCAACCGCCTCGCCACGAGCATCACTCCTAGCCCATCACTTATGTATTGAGGAACGAGCCCTTATTCTATAAAAATGACTCCCTCACCTTTATTAGAGAGCAACACCGCCAGCTGAACAACTGCCTCGCCGCGAGCATCACTCTTAACCCATCACTTATGTATTGAGGAGCGAGCTTTTATTCTATAAAAGGGACTCCTCTCTAGCCCATCATTTATGTATTAATGAGCGAGCCCTTATTCTATAAAAAGGACCCCCTCACCTTCAAGCGCCACAAGCCGAGCAGCCTCGCAACATGTGCTACTTATAGTTAAGCATCATTTCACTTTGAGCACCGCCTCATATCAAGTATCAGTTCAAGACGACATCTAGTTACTTCGGCCCACACATGGACTGAATTTCAAGTCTCCAGCCAAAAGACTCTCTTAACTAAAGACTTGGAGGACTACTGTTTATATCATACTTAGGACCTCCGTATTTAGACCTCGTACAAATACTCGGAGGACTTAAATGTAATTATGTAATAAAGGAATTGGCAAATATGTAATACGTGAGGAGCCCTTATTCTATAAAAGGACTCCCCACCCTCACAATTTGAGGAGAACAATCCTTAGGCCATATCCTCACCATCTCAGAGCTCTCATCCTTACAGAGAAATACAATCAGTGTGGACGTAGCCCAAACCTTGAGGTGAACCACGATACATCTTGTGTCATTTACATTACTTGCAGATTCACGTCAGATTTACGTTGTTCCAAGACCTCTGGTTTTGTGCATCAACACATACAAATAAAATGGAGGAGAACCTTTGAAACAAAAATATGTAAAGAAAAAGAATTAAAAATGAATAAAATGAGAGTATAAAATGTATTCGCAAGTGGGTGAGAGTGGCACAATTTGGCTCACATGGGTTACTTTTTTCGTGGGACCTACTGTTTTTTTGGGGCTAGATGTTGCTTAATTTTTTTGCACCCAATCAAGGAAGTTGTTAGCCCAAGTGATGGATCTAGCCCCATTTTCCGGCTCATTGAGAATGAAATTTCTCGTTATGGCTTCAAATGCAGTTGCTTCATGAAGGATAGAGCTCTCATCAGGGATGCTCTTAGGGAACACATGACGTTTTGCCCCATGCTACAAACAAAACAAAGAAGTGGGGAATCTTGGGGAATATTGGGGAATCAAAACATCTCATCAAAAGCCTTCTACCACGATCGATGCCCGTGGTAGATTGCTATTCATCATGAGCAGTCTGCCCGTTAGGAATCTGAATATGTTAAAAAGTCTCAGTTTTTACCACGTGTTTACTTGAGCCCGTTTATTGTCCAAACCTATTCTAAGGTAATCCACAAAATTGTATATAACAAATAGTATATAATTGAAAAAGGATACTTGCTTGCATCTGAGCCTAATAACCAAGCATCTAATCTCAGCCATTTATCTATAACAAACTAAGGCCACGCTGAGCAAAATTAAACTTATTTTAAATCAGTTTAGACCTTAATCTCAGCACAAACCCTTTATTTGATTATTGGCAAGCAGAGAGAAAGTACGAGCATCAAAACAATAAGAGATCGTCAAAGGTCCAGCAATATTCATTGAAGAAGATGAAAATGTATTTTGCCACTGGTACTAATTAAATGACAGGCGGATTCACAGATGCATACGAAAGAAGCTCCTTATTGCTTTCAAATTTAGCCATATCTTCTTCCTTGAGAGTCAAGGATGCTTCTATGCCTTCGCCATCTCTTGTGTCCATCAATAGAATTAGATTCTTCAGTCCTCCAATGTGAGGCACCCATAACGGCTTTCCCCATCCGAAATCAGCTTCATAAAAAGGAAATCTGCACCAACTGATGCAGTTGTAGTTGTCCACATCCCTTTTCATAAGGTGTCCATACTCTTTGTAGAACTCACACGCTTCCTCCCCGCTAATTCCTTTTCCATATCCTACTTTAAATTCCTCCATCTCTTTCCTGAATTTAGTCACCAAGCTTTGAACGTCGTCTACTTCACTTGCTTCGGTCTTTGCTACACAGAGCCCCACAAGATTCCCCAACAAGTTTTCTGCCAAAGGCGACACCAATATTTTCCGAATGTTCACAAATTGAGACAACTCAGATGGCCTTACAACACCCAAGTTTGATCTCGATGCTTCCATGGCACACTTCCAAATCAACGCTGATACCACTTCAACGCGAGTTGGGTTTTCCACGGTGGCACTACCAGCTTTGGACTTAAGAGCGGCAATCTTTGAGGCATCAAAAACAAATCTCTTAGTTATACACTTCTCTTGGGGAAATTCCAGGGCAGGTTGAAGCGAATTCAAGAAATCTACTTGTGGGAAAAGAGAAGCTGCAACACCAAATTTATCAGGAAGCTCTATGTGATCAGTAATATGTTGTGCTAGGACAGCACCAAACCTTATGGAACCAACTCAAGCTAACCCATAGGATATTTATCAAATGAAAATGCAAGAACAAAATATTAAAGAACACCAAGATTTTAACGAGGTTCCTCAACAGTCAGTGTAACTGGAGTACGTCCTCGGAGCAGTAGGAGCTCACCCAATAATCCACTATCAACCAAATGGGAGTTTACAAAATGATGGCAATCTCACAACCCAAATAACTCAATACACCCAATAGCTCTCACACACCACAGAAACAAATAGAGAAAGAAATATAATGTATAATTTCTTCTCTATACATATAGTTTAAAGCTATTACAACAACAATTATGATGGATGATTGCTAACCAAAAAGAAGAGCACTTTCTTCTTCTCTTCAACGAAGGGTTGCTGCACCCTTTATATTTTTCTGATGCTCTGCAGCTTGCACTTCTTTTCTTTGCAGCTCTCTCCATTTTTTTCTCTAAAACAAAATGAGCTTTTATTTCTCACCCTTTCTTCTACCCGTGACTTCTCACATGGACCAAAGAAAAACTTTAGACAAAGTGTGCTTTTCTTTTCCCCAAAACAAGGAAGAAACATCATCATGTTGTCTTTTTTCTTTTGAATTGTTTATAGCCAAAAGTTGGCCACTTGGCCACATACTCCAACAATCTCCACCTTGGCCAAGTTCCGAAATCACCGTGATAAGCCAACCAACACAAAAACACTCCCAAACACTAGCAAGAGAACAATTCATGCAGAGCCAAATGCTCCAAAACTCCTACTGCTCAACGCCTTCTTTATATAGGCAAAATATGAGCCAAGTTCAAGCAATGAACAAACTTGGCTACACCAACAACCTTAGTCAACATATCAGCGGGGTTGTCTTTAGTTGGAATCTTCTGGAGAATGATTTCCCCTTCACCAACAATTTCACGAACAAAGTGATAACGCACATCTATGTGCTTGGTCCGCGCATGATGAACCTGATACTTAGCCAAATAAATGGCACTCTGACTATCACAATGTACCTCCACCTGCTTCTGATCAACCCCCAAATCTCTAATCAGCCCATGTATCTAAATGGCCTCCTTTATAGCTTCAGCAACTGCCATATATTCAGCCTCTGTAGTAGACAAGGCAACAGACGACTGCAAAATGGACCTCCAACAAACTGGTCCTTTAGCCATAGTAAACACATAGCCTGTAGTAGACTTCCTTCCATCCAAATCACCTGCATAATCTGAATCAACATAACCAACTGCAAAATGACCAATACCAGAGTCATCCCTCTCAAAGCATAAACCAACATCTCGAGTACCATGGAGATATCTCAATATCCACTTAGCTGCTTGCCAATGTTCTTTACCTGGATTATGCATATATCGACTCACCATGCCAACTGTATGAGCAATATCCGGTCTAGAGCATACCATTGCATACATCAAACTACCAACCAAATTTGCATATGGTATATTTTTCATTTGCAGCTTCTCTTTATCAGTTTTAGGACACTGTAGAGAACTCAATTTAAAATGAGAAGCCAAAGGGGTACTAACCGGTTTGGTTGAATCATGAACTCCAAACTTCCGAATCAACTTCTCAAGGTATTGTCTTTGATTCAAACTGACCAAACCCTTCTCTCTATCTCTAGTGATCTCCATGTCAAGGATCTTCTTCGCTTCACCAAGATCCTTCATCTCAAACTCATTCTTCATTTGCTTCTTCAATTTCTCAATCTTTTCGACATTCTTTGAGGCAACCAACATATCATCAACATATATCAACAAATAAATGAAAGACCCATCTTGCAATTTCTTGAAGTACACACAATGATCATATTGACTTCTAGAATAATTTTGGCCTCTCATAAATTTATCAAACCTCAAATACCATTGCCTTGGAGATTGCTTCAAGCCATAAAGTGATTTCTTCAATTTGCAAAACAAATTCTCCTTCCCTTTCACTATATACCCATCCGGTTGACACATATAGATCTCTTCATTCAAATCACCATGTAGGAAAGCCGTCTTCACATCAAGTTGCACAAGCTCAAGATCATACTGTGCAACAAAAGCTAACATAATGCGAATTGAGGAGTGTTTCACAACCGGAGAAAAGATTTCATTGTAGTCAATGCCCTCCTTTTGTGCATACCCTTTAGCAACTAATCTTGCTTTGAATCTCACATTACTTTTCTCATCAGCATCTTCCTTCTTGGCATACACCCATTTGCAACCAATAACTTTCTTGCCCTTAGGCAATTTAGCTAACTCCCAAGTCTTGTTCTTCAATAGAGAATTCATCTCATCACCCATGGCATTGCACCACCTCTTCTTCTCATCACTCTCAATGGCTTCCTCGAAATTGGATGGAATATCACCAATGATAATAGGAAGAGCAAAAGCAACATAGTCACTATACCGAGCTGGCTTGGTAATTTGTCTCTTTCCTCTGTTCTTGGCAATAGACTCTTGAGGTGAAACTTGCTCTTCAACTTGAATAGAATCTTCAAGTTCAACTTCTTCAACATCCTCATGGTCTCCAACTTCTTCACTTGTAGTGGCTTCGACATCAGCGGAAATAGGATTTGAAGTACCAGAGGCAACTTTCTCAAGCTCCACCTGTTGGACATCTTTCACATTCTTCTCAGAGACTTTGTACATACTTTCTTCATCAAATGTCACATCTCTGCTGATTACAAGTTTTTTCATCTTTGGGCACCATAACCTGTAACTTTTGACACAACTACTAAAACCAAGAAAGATAGCCTTTTTGGCTCTAGGATCAAGTTTATTTTCAGTCACATGAAAATAAGCAGGTGAACCAAAAATACGGATATGGTCATAATCAGAAGAAGGTTTTCCAGTCCATACCTCCATTGGTGTCTTACCCTGAACAGCAGCTGAGGGTAACCGGTTGATGATGTGACATGCATAATTAACTGTTTCTGCCCAAAATGACTTGCTTAAACCCGACTGAGACAACATACATCTAACCTTCTCAAGCAAGGTTTGATTCAATCTTTCTGCAACTCCATTTTGTTGTGGAGTTCCCCGAACACTAAAATGTCTCACAATTCCTTCTTCTTTGCAAACTTTAAAGAAAGGGTTGGATGTGTATTCACCACCATTATCCGATCTCAAAATCTTAATCTTTCTCCCAGTCTGGTTCTCAACCATTTTCTTCCAACCCAAGAAAATGCTCAAGACCTCACTCTTATGCTTCATAGTGTAGACCCAAGACCTTCTTGAATAATCATCAACAAAGGTCATGAACCAATGTCTACCACTCAAAGAGAGAGTCTTTGTAGGATCCCAAACATCCGAATGCACATAATCAAGAATGCCCTTCGTTTGATGTACAGCAGTACCAAACTTCACTCTAGTTTGCTTTCCCAAGACACAATGCTCGCAGAAATCAAGCTTACAAGTCGTGGCACCTTTTAGAAGACCTTGTTTCACAAGCCCTTGTAGAGCTTTCTCACCAGCATGGCCTAATCTCATATGCCACAGTTTAGTAGTATCAGAATCAGATGTGCCCATATTTTCTGAGACTACAGATGCTTCACCTGTCACAGTGCTTCCTTGTAATAAGTACAAATGGCCACTTCGAGGAGCTTTCATCACAACAAGTGCACCATAAGTAACTTTCAATGTCTGTCTATCTGAATGAAACCTGAAGCCCTTGGATTCCAAAGTACCCAAAGAAATAAGATTTTTCTTCAAATTCGGTACATACCGAACACCTGTCAACTCTTTAACCATGCCATCATACAACTTCAAACGAACTGTACCAATCCCTTTTGTTGTGCAAAGATTGTCATCTCCCATGAACACAACGCCACCATCAAACTCTTTCAAGCTTGAAAACCAATCCTTGTGAGGAGTCATATGATGAGTACAACCCGTATCCAACACCCACTTAGTAGCACAATCAAATGATGAGGAAGTGGTTAAAGCAAAATCAAAAAGATCTGTTTCAACCTCAGCAACATTGGCTTCAGAACTTTCTTTTCCTTTGGTCTTCAACTTAGGACAATCTTTCTTCCAATGGCCCTTATTATGACAAAAGGCACATTCATCCATTTCCAAAGGTTTTCTACCTTTAGAGTTTCCTCTAGGTCGAGACTGTGATTTTTTCCTACTAGAAGATGATCTCCTCTCCGATGATTTACCTCTAACAAATAAAGCTTCAGAGGTACTATCATGATTTTTATCTCTATGCCTCATTTCATAATTCATCAAGGCATTTGACACATCTTCAAATTTCACAGTTTCTTTACCATGCATAATAGTGGTAACAAAATGCTCATAAGAGTCCGGCAAGGAATTCAACAATATTAAGGCCTTATCTTCATCCTTAATATCCTCATCTAAATTTAACAAGTCGGCAATCAACTTATTAAAAGCATCAAGGTGTCTAATCATTTTTGTACCTTCTTTGTATTGAAAGCGGTAGAGTTTTTTCTTCAAGTGTAGCCGGTTCTCTGCACTCTTCGTCATATATTTATCTTCTAATTTTTGTCACAACACACTTGCTACTGTCTCCCGCATCACAAAATATTTCTGAGTTTTTGCAAGGCACAACCGAATTGAAGAGCAAGCCCACAAATTTAATTTCTCCCATTTCGGCTTCGACATAGCTTCCGGCTTCTCTCCCAAAGCGGCAAGTAGATCTTGTTGAGCCAACACATCTTTGACCTCACATTGCCACATCCCGAAGTTGTTTGTGCCATCAAACTTTTCCACTTCGAACTTTGCATTTTGCACCATAGTTCTTGCAAACCCGGAGCTGCTTCCAAAAGGATTCTCATCTTGCCCGTCTGACATCTTTGGCAACTAGACAGTACCCAAGAGCAACCAGTGCTCTGATACCAATTGTTGTGCTAGGACAGCACCAAACCTTATGGAACCAACTCAAGCTAACCCACAGGATATTTATCAAATGAAAATGCAAGAACAAAATATTAAAGAACACCAAGATTTTAACGAGGTTCCTCAACAGTCAGTGTAACTGGAGTACGTCCTCGGAGCAGTAGGAGCTCACCCAATAATCCACTATCAACCAAATGGGAGTTTACAAAATGTTGGCAATCTCACAACCCAAATAACCCAATACACCCAATAGCTCTCACACACCACAGAAACAAATAGAGAAAGAAATATAATGTATAATTTCTTCTCTATACATATAGCTTAAAGCTATTACAACAACAATTATGATGGATGATTGCTAACCAAAAAGAAGAGCAGTTTCTTCTTCTCTTCAACGAAGGGTTGCTGCACCCTTTATATTTTTCTGATGCTCTGCAGCTTGCACTCCTTTTCTCTGCAGCTCTCTCCATTTTCTTCTCTAAAACAAAATGAGCTTTTATTTCTCACCCTTTCTTCTACCCGTGACTTCTCACATGGACCAAAGAAAAACTTTAGACAAAGTGTGCTTTTCTTTTCCCCAAAACAAGGAAGAAACATCATCATGTTGTCTTTTTTCTTTTGAATTGTTTATAGCCAAAAGTTGGCAACTTGGCCACATACTCCAACATAATAGTATTAGAACCACGGGCAATTGCTGCCCAGCAACTAGTGAATTTGCTTAGTGTATAAGCATCGGCGACCTTATGTGAGCTGCCAACCCCAATTGCAAGTCCACCACATTCAAAGAAGTTGGCCTTCACGAGTAGAAGATAGCCTGTATCTGCTTGTGAGGAGTCTAAAACAGTTGGAAGCAATTGTTTTAGGATCACAAGTTCGGGCTTGTTCAATACCTTCGACATGGGACAATTCACTCGGGCTTCAACATAGGCAGCTCCATGGTCGTTGCAACAAATTGAAGCGTTGTGCTGGAAATTTCCGGCATATGGATAGAAGCGAGTGAGGGCTTCAGATAATGATTTCTTTAGAAGCTTGGATCTCTCGGCAACCAAAGAATGTTTGCCCTCAAAATACTTATTATTGTCGTTGGGATAAAAGAGAAGTAGTGGGACATAAATATCCGGAAAAAGCTGATCGAAAACAGAAAGGCTTAAATTTCTAAGGTGGTGAGGAGTTGGCAATGATGGTCTAATTGTGTCCTTGTAAATGACTTGTATCTTCATCTCTGAACCCATCTTTTCTCTCCACACTAGAGTTTCATAGCAAACACCTCCCAGCTTCATATAAAGACACACGGAGTCGCCGTACATCGGGAGATCCAGCGCAATGGAATTAATTCGACTACTTTGTTCTGTTTGTCATTGTCCAATTCGTACAATAGAATACGGCCTTAAAGAAACATATGAAATAGGATCATGCATAAGCACTTTGTTATAGGAGCTGATTTTCACACACCTTTTATAGTTTTTTTCACATCCTTCTTTGTTCTAGGCTATTGAATTGAATAAATCAAACGAAAACAACGGATATAATTAACCAGAAGTGTGTAGAAAGCTATAAAGGATGTGTGTTTATCATTTCCCCTTTGTTATATGCCCGAAGGAATATCTTCACTAAAAAATGGAATCTATTGGTTTACTTTTTTCTTTTATTCCTTGTCAGATCTTTATTTAATCAATAAAAAAAAGGAATCATTTTTCTTGTATTCCCTCTCTGTCAGGCTATGGTTAAGAGTTTTATTTATTTATTTATTGTTACTACTTAAACCAGCATCACTAATTACTGTATAAGTCTTAAGTGTTGTGTTATAGTATGCAGGCCTTTTCATTTTTGGCCTGTCCTTGTTTGGACTGTCGGACGAGGAATGACTATTATTTTAGACTGGGTTGGATTTACTGCATTAGTCCAGCAAAAGAAAAGAATTATATAATGAAAAAACCCGAATTTACATTTTATTTGTAATTCTAAAACGAAAGCAAGAAAACAATGAAATATCATCAACATCCAGGAGAATAAAAACCTAGGAATCACAAGTGGCATTGTAACTTTTATTTTTTCAGTACTAATTAGATGACACTCGGATTCAGAGAAGCATAGGCAAGCAGTTCCTCATTGATTTAAAATATGGCCATTTCTTCTTCATTGAAAGTCAAGGACGCTTCTCTGCCACCCCCATCTCTTGCATCAGTCAACACAAACATATCCTTTCCATAGTCTGAGTCACCCATTGACGTCCCCTCATCCACACGTACACGTGTGTCAAATTTTCAATCTTAACACGTGGACAACATAAATAGGGTGACGTGGATGTGATATTTCAACCAGGAAACTAAAATGACAATATGAGGAATAACTACTTATAAGCACATTTGCAAGGTCTCTCATTCTCCAGATATGAGGATTAATTTTAGGGAACTTTAACGAAAAGCTCCCGGTACTGTTTACTTTAACAAAAAATCATATTTTTACACTAAAAAATCAATCATAGTATTATGTACTTACCCTTTATTTTGTCTTTATCATTAAAACTCAAAGTTTTCAAGCATTTTTCATTAGTTTTTCTTTAATCGTAAACATTTTTCACTATAGTGGATCTATATGTAGCCACCTTGACAATTTTGTAGTGTTCTTCATTATTTTGATCTACAGAGTAAGATTCACAGTGATATAGTCTCCCGGATACCTCTCGCTACCAACAATTAATTGTTCCAAATTATTGGTTTGCGTTAAGAATTATGTTTTCATATTCAATATAGAAAAAATTGATCCTGTTGTGCGAAAACGTCAAATATGAAATCAATAAACTAATATGACAAAATATGACAAGACAAATAATCCAAAAGACACAAGGATTTATACTCGTTCGGCATAAGCCTATGTCCAGTTCAGAGACGTCAAGAAAATTCCACTAATAATCAAAATGGAGATTGCAAATTAAGTTTAACTCTCAAATTTCAAAACTCACATACACCCAATAGCTCTCACTCATACAAAGAACAAATGAAGAAGATGGACACACATACCAAATCCCTTCTCTCCAAAAAACCACAAAATGTAACACCAATATCTTTGATCGAGTGATTGCTAACAAAGGGGGAGCATCAATTCTTTTTCTCACTACTAACAGCTCATTTTTCTTTCATCTGCTACCTCTTCTCCCCAAAACCAAAAAAGGCAGAATGCCTTTATAAAGTGGAGTTGCTGCCTTAAACCCTAAGAGAAACTCCACCCTAATGAGGTAGGCTGGCACAAAGTCTTAAAAATATGCTAACTTCCCTAAAAAACCCTCAAGCCAATCCAAATAGACTAACCCACAACCCAAGCCAGCTTATAGGCCGACCCAAAACGTGATGAGCAATGTCCCGACATATCTGACGTCACACTAGCGTCAGCATGACATTAGCGAGGCGCACTCCTTTTTTTTGCGTCCGGCGCGTTCCCGACAGATAAAGGGCGTGGGGCTTGCCGTTGCAGGCGCAATAATCGGGAGTTGGGAGAAGCCACGTGGGTGACACGCCCCAACCCCGATATCCCCACATACCAAGGTAGGCACGTGTTGGCCAACACCCGAGGGTGACAAAGCCATTTAAACATGCATACAAATAAAATATATACAATTAGAACGATTATACCAAAGCAGAAATGTGTTCAAAGCATACAACTAACTAAGAATAATATGAGAGAATGACTATAAAAAGATACGAACCAGGAAAAGATACCTATACTGAGAATACTCAAGGATAACTACGCCGAAGTGCTCTGATGCCGAGATCATGTCTCGATCCTAACTCTTGAGGGGGCGCAAAACCAAAGGTGAGTGGACCAAAGTTTATAATAATAATACTAATAATAAGAAAACATTTTATTTCCGAACATAATAACCCCTTGTTTTGAAAACATATATAATACTACATATAAGTTTTATAAAAACCCTAGCATGTCGTGTAAAACATTTGTAAAACATCTATAAATCGTATCTGTGAAGTACTCAACTAAGGGTATCATAGTCGCCCGAAGGTAGTACCTGTTCATCATCCGAAGGTGAAGCTGAATTACTTGTCCATCACCCGAAGGTGAAGCTGAATAAAATAGCATACATCCACACCGACACTAGCTATGGCTAGTGAAGTTGTCCACACCGCTTTCGGTAGTGAAGCTGGGGGTATATAATATATCATATCTCACTCCTCCATCATCTGTGTCCTATGGCCATAGACATCTATACCCGTGGTGTGCGGATGTGCCGTATGATAACCTACTAGGTAAGTACCAAAAACATACCTTAGAAATCTCATATCAATCCCGGAGCTCAAAATCTCGAAGTCTCATCTCATAAATCCAAGATAAATCGTATTCATGAAATCCATAAAATAATTCATGTTCGTAAAATCGTAATATAAATCTTATTCAAAAACCATAGAAATCCATATATGCAAATCCAATAATTCAATACCTTTAATAAAACATAGTTTCGATAAATCAAACTATTTCGTAAACTATAAGTATGAAAATCCGTAAAACATATTATAAATCATGCTCCGTTCATAAAATATGCAATGCATGCTAGGCTAATATTTTATAAAAATATATAAGTTAAGAAGGGGTCCACTCACAGATATTTTGTTGCCCGGGAACCACTCGAGCTAGCGAGGATGACGTCGCTTCCTGTCAACATGCATAAACACAATTAGGAACCGTTTAGTAAAACTATACCTAAACAATAGAATTTGGGAAAACAGACGGCGAATTCAGATCCGGCACGTTGAAAAACCTAAGAAGGGACCTCGGGTTTCCCCCACTCACCACCATATATATAAGCCGCCACGAGGCGGCGGCCCTAGTCACCACGTGCCACCCCATGCACCGGGATGGGTTGTCGACGCCACCAATCGCCGCCATGGACGACGACGGAGCATAGTGCCTCCGACGAAGGCGCATACACTCCACGCGCACTCATGCGCACGAGTACGGTCGTACTCACCACTTCGAATTTTCTGGAATTTTTCCATATTTTTCGTCCAACTTTGAGAGCTCATTTTGAGCTTGATACAAGCCCAAATCAAGTGATTCAAAAGCCTAGATGTAGTTAGGAATGTGGAGAAGAGATTCATACTCTTGGATGGCTCGAGGGAATACGAGGTTGGCCCAAAAAATGTCTAGAATATGGCCAAACAGTCATGGTTTTAAATTTATGCTCCCCGAGTTGATTTTCGTGTTAAAACCTTCACCATAGTCACTTTTAATCATCAATAAAGTGATCTAGCCTACGGGGGAAGAAGATCAAAGAAGTTTTGAAGCTCACCTTCGCCGAAGACGGCGATACATCGTCTGAATTGGATGCACATTAATTGCGCCATGCTATGTGAAGGAGAAGAAAAGTTTTCCTTGCTTATTTTAGGACCTAGAATGATGGTTGCTTGAGGGTGTGCTCGCCGGAGTGATAAGGTGGTTGTGGTGGTGGTTAAAGGTTGCACAGGGAGAGAAAAATGAGAGTTAAGAGGGTGGTTTTATGTGTTTGTTTTGGCTACACAGAGAAAGAGGAATGAGAGCTGGGGTGAGGGGATGGTCACGGCAGAGAATAAGATGATGAGGGAGATAGAGGGTGAGGTGCTGTCAGCTAAAAGGGGGGAAAATGTGATGTCTGTGTGTGTTTGTGTTTGAATGACAGAAAATGGGGGTAAATAATAGAGGGAGGGGAAGTGACGGGCCAACCAAAGAAACCTCCAGAAAATGGGGGAGAAATCTGCCACGTGGCAGCCTGTGAGTGGTCCAAGGGTGGGATAAAAAATCTCCACTTGTGAAATTACCAAAATACCCTTGCGTTTAAAATTCTGTAGAAGCTTTATTTTAGCTTCGAATTCGAATCCATTTGCACCCACGCATTCATAGTGATGAGTACTACGATGATACATCAAGAAAATAGATCTTACGTGACACAACAAGGCGGTCAACAAAAGTCAATGCCTTTACCTCGAAGGCCATTTTCATAATTTCATATTTTAAAATTATAAAAATTGTAATATTTGGGGGCGGGTCGTTACATGGCGCATCTTCGGCTGTTGGATTTCCAATTGCTAGTTTTCTGAACCGTTGGATTTCCAACGGTCAAAAAAATTTGAAATTCAAAACCAACGGCAAGTGACATGGCGCTTTCTAGGCCATCCGATTCCTAGATCAACGGTCCACGATTTTCGACCAAAAAACATTATAAAAAAAAAACAGTCAGAATTATGATCGT